AAGTGTCACTCACTATCCGTGAAATTGAGGTGTTTTCTTGTTTAGCTAACCATGCAATAAAGCATCCAAATAAAGAAATTGATAGGGAGAGGATCACATATGACTCCACGTCAATGCAGCCACACAACTTCCATCGAACAAATCGCAGGAATTTTAATCGCTATAGCGCGCCGAAGCTGACGAGCTTATTAGGCTCCAAAGGCTCTCTCGCTATCTGCCGCTAGCCTGCAGAATGATCTGAGATGTTATTCAGCTTGATCGCTCGTTGGTTTCAGTCAGGGCTTATTAGTCAGTTAATAGTGTCTTTTTCTCACAACAAATCAACACTGGCCAGACTTATCAGCCCAGAAATCAACCAGCGAACAGGCTCGTCAACGCACCCGCGCGTGCGTGTGCAGCATGTGAATCAAATATACTGTCACAACTACCAAGCAACAACTATTCATATTTCTTTATTTCATTAGTTTAGGACACAATTATGTGTGCACTATATGGATGCATGCAGCACGCTCATTCAGTATACCATTTGCAGTCCAGAGCTGCAAAAAGGCACTCATTTTTCTCCAGACTCTGTTTTTCTAGGGGGCACGAAATTTACAAAAAAAAAACAGCAAATCAGGTAGTAAATAAAAAAAGAAGAATGTACTATTTCAGGTGAAAATCATAGGCAAAGTATTTACCGCTGAAGATACAAAGCAAAAATCTTTATCTTTAAGGAGAGTTTCAGCTTTCAAATAAACATTCTGGAGTAAATATAGAAAAATACAACACTAACGTCGTTAAATCCTAACGTAGATCTAGAAACGATAATGATACGATTAAGACGTCTGGACAGACGGACGCCTCCCACCGCTCACTCCCGCACGTGCTCGCGCCCCTCCCCATTCTTATCCCTTCCGCGCTCGCGCCCCGGCCCCACCCCAACGACGCGGCCATGGCTGCTTCCCTGGCTGGCGTCGGCGCGCTCCCCCACCCCGGCGTCCTCCTCCCCCACCCCAACGGCGCCCCTCCCCCCACCCGGCGTCCTCACACACAGGGAGCGCCCAACGCCCATGGATCTAGTGGCCCTCTCTCCCACCTCGGCGAGATCCATGGAGCATAAGCGAGATCCATGGAGATGGTATGGTGGTGTTGCAGGGGAGTGGGCGGCTCTCTCTCCCACCCCCGACGGCGTCCTCTCTCACCCCGACGATCTGAATCGACCGGCCCAGCCTTCCACTCCCATATGTTGCATATGTATGCTTCAAGTGTTTTAGGCGTTTCAGATGTATGTTGCAATTGTTTCATATGGATATTGCAAAACTAGATCGGGGGATGTTACACATGTTGTAATTGTTTCAAAGGCATGTTGCAAGATAATGTTTCGAGTGTTTTAGATGTTTTAGAGGTATGTTTCATCTGTGTTTCTGGACGCATGTTACAAGTGTGTTTATCTGGATTTCTGGACGCATGTTACAAGTGTGTTTATCTGTATGTTGCATATGTTTCACGCATACGTTGCATGCGTTTTATTTGGATGTTGCGTATGGTTGCAATGGTTTTCAAGTGTTTTCAGATGTTTTTTTTCAAATGTTTCAGAAGCATGTTTCAAGTATTTCATCGGCCTTCACATGTATGTTGCAACTGTTGTATTTGGATGTTTTAAAAGTAGATCGGGTGTTGCATCTATCCTCCTCACCTTCTGCTGTATCGTGTCTCCCGGCGCCGGCAGGGCATCGCGGCCGGGTCCTTCCAAATCGGAGGCGCCCCCGCCCTTCCCCTCCTGTCGCTCGGGCGGCGCAGGCCCCTCGTGGAGCGTGAAACGGAATGCAGCGCGCGGGCGTCCATCCGGATGTCCGAGCGCTAGCAAGCATAGGTAAGCTAGTTTAGTTTGAAAAAAAAAATTAATGGCATATATGATTCGTAGCAATAGCACTGTGCGTACTGTGAGGGTCTCTAGACTCTGGCCGGGCTGCGCCGGTGCTGACATCTCATCAGTTTCCCAAACAGCAAGGCCGACCAGAAAAGACACTTGTTTTCTTTTCCTCCGTCGCGTGAAGAACCTTGTGAGATTTGGTGACGGGGACGCACGGCGCGCGCCGACCTCGCGACCACAACGGGCCGGCTAGCTACTCGTAGCTCGTCCATGGCAATCTCCGGCGAGTTCGGCGGATTTGTCTGCACAAATGCGTGCCTTCCCCTAACGTCTAGCAATCCAGCCAGCCTCCAGCTCGTTTGACAGCTGCCGGAGCCGGCGTGCTTGGCCCCTAGTTCGCATTTGGCACGCTCTAGCCCGGCCGAGCCCCAGAGCACAGCTGGGGATGCCATGCCGCCGTTGGAGCCCGGAGAATTCCGACGGATCCGGCGACTACCCGAGATATTTCGCTGCGGGTCGCCGGCGTTCGGCGGGACGACACGTACGTCGTCGGGCCTGCCTGTCCCCGCGTGCGTCCGAAGGAGTTAGGCGACAGTGGTGTGTGTGCGTCGAGCTTGCCAGGTCGTACGTCGTCTCTTTCAGCTTTCAGATGACGACGATGTCTGCGCTGCGGATGGTGGGAGAGGAGGGAAAAAAATATGGGATGGTGTCCTGTGCGCCAAAAGGGGATAAATGGCCGCCTTCAGGCTCGATCTCCCCCAACAACAGGAGCAGATACGCCCCGGGATTTCTTGGTGGTTGCTGTGAGCTTCCTGCGCGCCGGTCCATGCCCTGCACAGGTGTGTTTCGGCGTGCCGTTTGTCCTTGGAAAGTGATGTTTGCGATAGACTGACTCCAACGGCGCATGCAATCCGTGACCCAAACGCAAAATCGGTCACCCACAGTGTTTTTGCCTTCGAAAACATCGATCCAACGGATGACCCAATCACCTCACCCATTTTGGGTACGAGGCTTGCCGAGCTGCAAATGTGCGTCGTCGAGAGAGAGGAACGCAAATCTCTGGCGGCGTCGTAGTGGTGGGCCCGTAGGAGCGGGGCGCGGCCAGGCGGACAGCTGCGGGGAGCCGCCGCGGCGAGGTCCGCCTCAAGGCACGGCCGGCGGGTACCGCCTCGAGGCGGGGAGCGGGCACGGCCGTCGGGGAGCGGGGATCCGGGGTCGAGCCGTCGAGCACGATTCCAACAGCGGCCATGGCGTCCGTCTCCACTCGTCTGCTCCGCCGCCGCGACGTCCAGCGGCCAGATCCGCGCAACAGGGGTGTCCTCCGCCGTGGATCGACGGACCTCCCGATCCGCGTAGGGGGAGTGGCGGCGGGCGCCGGAGGGCTTGGCCGGGGATTCCGCGAGGTTGGAGACGGAGGAGGAGGGGAGTGGTTCCGCGGTGGTAGATCCGCCGGTACCGAAAGAAGAGACGGGAGGCGATGGGCCTGGACTCCAGCAGCAAGGCCGGCGGCGGCAACGAGCAGTAGCTGCAGCAGCGGAAGAAGAAGGCCACTGTGGCTGCCGCGGCCTCCAAGCGGGAGAGGGAGAGGGAGAGGGAACAGGGAAAGTGGGGCTGGGGGAGGTGGAAGCGGCGCGGGGGAGAGAGATTGAGGAGAGAGAGGACGGGATTTTGGGGTGGCTGTTGGAGAACGTGAGGTTTGGATGCTCGGACTTTTTTACTGTGCACGACCCAAACTGAAGAATGTGTCTCTGATTTGGGTTGTTTTGTTGGAGATAGCCTTAGGAAAACCGGCGGAAGCAACTAACGCGCGGGTCACCAATGAAAGCAAACTGTCCTCTCCTTAAAATACCACTTTGGTCCTACCCATGCATGATGCATGGATTAGGTGCTGCTGATCTCTTATTTTAGAAAATTCAAGTTTTATTCTGGCCACCGCATGAGTTATGCACATTATCATTGATCAATCTCTTTTACAGTTCCAGCCTTCGGTTTGTAAAAACGATCTCTTTAAAAGCTCCCACGGTGTAAAAGAGAGAGTGAGGCTATTAGAAGACGGCCACCGGCCACCCATGTTTAGCAAACATCTTCATTGCTAATGGCTCCATGATACGACCTGCCCGCTTTATACCTCGATCATCTTGTTGTTAGAGGGTGGCCCTAAAAGTAAGATTATAATATCTTTTTGTTAAAAACCAATCACTTTGCCGCAATTAAATAGACCAAATGATTGGACTTGCTTCAGCATAAACTTGTGCGCACAAATTGCCATCTATACTTGTTCAAGCTAGTACAACTGATCTCTAGCTACGTATCTTTTAGCACAAAGTACTTTTGCATATCATGTCATCGTGTTTGGATGTAGGTATTCAGCCTTAGAATTTAGAATTGATATTGGCTAGCTCCAAATAACAACTTTTCTAGTTCAATCATTTGGCCGATGCATTTGTTCTTTTGAACGAAGAAACTTGGTCGATGTAAAGATTGTATACTAGTTTCAGCACAACTGCTCCATCATCAGTACGCTGACTGGTCATCTACATCTAGTGATGATGCGATCAAGTTATACAACTTATGCAGAAAAGACAACTGTACATTACATATATATATTCAATGAACGACATGTATATCATGAGATGAGCCTAACCCATCATTTTGTTCCCATACCAACTGATGTATGCTTTTCTTTTCTTTTCGGAACTTATATACATTTTCCCTAGAAGTTGGACTGGCGGCCTCCTTCTATTCAAATATTTTGCATGTGGTTTGTGCATTGTTTAGGCACTATATATAATGTGGTCTAGTGCAGTATTTATTAACTCATAAAATGTATTTTTTGAATGACTCATAAAATGTATTTAGGACTCGTTGTTATTATTTCTGTAATGTCTCTCCCAGATTTTTTTAAAAAAAATTATTGTAGTAGTAGATGAAAATTGCAAGAGGAAAAGGAATAACAAACCAGGGCCCAGCAGTGCATTTTCAAATCTTTGGTTCCCAATGATTGAGTCATCTTTCCTAGCACCGTGCGCGCGAATCTTGTCTCCCGGAAACTCCTATAAATACGCCCCCCCCTGCTGCAGCTCACACCACACCACACCACAAACGCAGCGCAACGCACCAGCTAGCAGCTAAGCTGAGAGTCGCAATGGAGAGCTCAGTCGAGAGCTGGTGGGTGCTTCCCATGACCTTGATCCCGGCCGTCTCCGGTGAGCAACACGAGAACATGGCCACCATAGCCACTAGCTTCGCCTACCTCGCCATCTTCGCATGTCTTGCATGGGCGGGCGCGTCCCTGCTCTACTGGGCTCACCCAGGCGGCCCTGCGTGGGGCAAGTACTGGAGGGCAAGGGGGAAGCCGTCGTCGACGATCCCGGGGCCCAAGGGAATCCCGGTCGTCGGCAGCCTCGGCCTCATGTCCGGGCTGGCGCACTGCTCGCTGGCCGACGAGGCGTCGCGCCGGCCGGGGGCCAAGAGGCTCATGGCGCTGTCGCTCGGCCCTGTCCGCGCGGTCGTCACGTCCCACCCGGACGTGGCCAAGGAGATCCTCGATAACCCGGCGTTCGCCGACCGCCCCCTCAACCACGCCGCGTACGGCCTCATGTTCCACCGCTCCATCGGCTTCGCCGAGCACGGCACGTACTGGCGCGCGCTCCGGCGCGTCGCCGCGGGCCACCTGTTCGGCCCGAGGCAGGTCGAGGCCTTCGCGCCTTACCGCGCGGCCGTCGGGGAGGGGATCGTCGCGGCCCTGCGCGGCGCCGGCGGCTCCGGCGGCGTCGCCGGCGGCGTCGTCCAGGTGCGCGGCCTCCTGCGCCGAGCATCGCTCTACTACATCATGCGGTTCGTGTTCGGCAAGGAGTACGACGTGTCGCGCGCGGTGCCGGCGTCCGGGAAGGAGGAGGTGGAGGAGCTGCTCGAGATGGTGCACGAGGGGTACGAGCTCCTGGGCATGGAGAACTGGTGCGACTACTTCCCGGGGCTCGCCGCCCTCGACCCACAGGGAGTAGGCGCACGGTGCGCCGAGCTCATGCCACGGGTGAACCGGTTCGTGCACGGCATCATCCAGGAGCACCGTGCCAAGGCGATCGCCGGAGGAGACGCGCGTGACTTCGTTGACATCTTGCTCTCCCTGCAGGAGAGCGAGGGGCTCGCGGACTTCGACATAGCCGCTGTGCTCTGGGTAAGAACTCATGCACTTAACCCACAATGAATAAGGCATTGTTTAGTTCCTCTCCAAAAGTTGACATCCTACCCCATCGAATATTGGAACACATGTATAAAGTATTAAATATAGACTAAAAAATAACTATTTGCACAGATTACGACTACTTTTAAACCTAATTAGTCCATAATTTGACAATAAAGTGCTACAGTACACGTATGCTAATAACGAATTAATTAGGCTTAATAAATTCGTCCCGTGGACGGCGGATGCACGATGCGGGATAAGGGGAGGCTAAAACAATGGAGATGTTGATTTGCATGAAGATTTAATGGTGAAATCAATCTTTTGCTACAGTGGTTAGGCTTGAAATCAAGACATTATGGGGGGCTGGAGCCCCCCCAGCCTCCCTTTTGGATCCGCCACTGCCCGCGGTTTACTGACGGATTCTGTAATTTATTTTTTTATTAGTATCCGAACACCCCATGCGACACCATCATGTGACACCCGATGTGACACCTCAAAACTTTCCACCCGGAACTAAAAGGCCTAAACACATATCTAGCTATTACTCCTACACCAAATTTATGCGAAGGGTTCAATTAGTATAAATAAACAAGTTTTGCTGAAGAGCGCGCCAAATCATGCAAAAATACTTTTGCTCAGATCGTATCTGAAAAAAGAGTAGCGAAAGCTTTAAAATTTAAAACAGTGCGTGCGTGCAAAAATTCTACCAACTTTTCGTTTTTCTTTCTAATCTTTAAATTTGTTTATCTATAGAAAGAATCCCATAAACGGATGGCTAGCTGCATGCCTGCATGCATCACTAAGCACTAGTAGAAACTAAAGTAAGCTAGCTGCCCTTGTATTCATCAGGAGATGATCTTCAGAGGAACGGACGCCATGGCCGTGCTCATGGAGTGGACGCTAGCTCGTCTCGTCCTCCACCGCGACGTCCAAGCCAAGGCGCTCCGTGAGCTCGACGAGGTCGTCGGCGGGAACAGCCAGGTCGTCACCGAGTCGGCGGCGCCGTCGCTGCCTTACCTGCAGGCGTTGCTGAAGGAGGCTCTCCGGATGCACCCGCCGGGCCCCCTCCTGTCGTGGCGCCACAGGGCGATATCCGACACGTACGTCGACGGCCACCACGTCCCGGCGGGCACCACCGCCATGGTAAACCAGTGGGCCATCAGCCGCGACCCCGAGGTGTGGGACGCGCCGCTCGAGTTCCGTCCCGAGCGGTTCCTCCCCGGCGGCGAGGGCCAGGACGTGTCCGTGCTCGGCGCCGATGGCCGCCTCGTGCCGTTCGGGTCCGGCAGGAGGAGCTGCCCCGGCAAGTCCCTGGCCATGACCACCGTAACCGCCTGGATGGCCTCGCTTCTGCACGAGTTCGAGTGGCTGCCGGCGTCGGACACAGGCGCCGGCGTCGACCTCTCGGAGGTGCTCCGTCTGTCCTGCGAGATGGCAGTGCCGCTCGAGGTCCGCGTGCGCCCGAGGAGCGGCATGTGAGTGAAGTACCTGCCGATAGCCATGACACCCCATTGTGCAATGTGTAGCAGTGACCCTAAGCAGCGTTCTGTTAGTAAACTGTGAATAAGCAGCTGGTGAGGACTGTGCATACCAGCTCAGCTCAGTTCAGTATTTGGTTCAGGGTTTCAACTTGCCTATGTATCATATAGTGTGACCGTGAGTACAAGTTATCCGCAAAAAGTGTACAAATCATAAAGCTAACCTATGGTGTCTATAAACGCCCGGCCGTCGATGGGGTCGAGGTCCTTCTGGACTCGCGACGAGAGTATGTACCGGTAGGAATGAAAACGGATCGGTGCGGAGCGAATAATGTCTTCTCCGTATTCTAATCTATTTATTTTTTGTTAGATTCGGAGCGGATCGAATATTATACGGATTTAGATACGAATACGTATTTTTTATGGTGTCGGAAATTGTATGGATTCGGATCGGTGTTGGAGCAGAAGCAGACTTTTTTTAAGTCGGATAATGTGTGCTTACGTGTTGTTTTTTATGATGAGAAACAATTCATTAACCAAAGTCATAAAGCAGCAACACAACACCAAACAATCACCACTGATCCACCACTTCAATTTAAGAGCTCACAAAATCAATACTTCTCAGTTTGAATTTAAGAGTATAAAACAAGCGTATAGAAGAAATAAATATTCTTAATTAAAATATTTAAGCAAAACTTTGTCATTTGATGATTAGCCGCCATTTGCTTGTGGGCTACTTATAATAATGCTTGTGTCATGGGATGGGCCAACTTGTATTCTTGTCGCTTTGGACTCTTTAAAATATTCGGATTATCCTATTATTAGCATCGAATAATCCGTGTTCAATTTCTGGATAATCCATATCCATCGGATTTCACCAATCCCATATCCTACACCACATTCGCGTATAATCGGATTCGGATTATCCGCATCCGCACGGATATTAAAAACACTTCTCCATGTCCTTAAAATTCGGATTCGAAGCAGATCGGGGCGGAGGATTATCCATACCACTTTCACCCTATGTACCGGTCGATTCTACAGTGATCTTCTTGTCCAAACCTACGCCTATGTGTTATGGTATAGAGGGCCAAATGGGTAGTATGGCTGGGCACGGCAAAGGACCTGGCCAAGGCACGGCCCGATAGAGATTGGGCCAGCACGGGGCAGCTGTCGGGCCCCTAACTTAGGGTCCTCTGTGCATCATGTATCAGTCGCTTATCTTGAGTTGCAAAGCTATTCTTCTCGTCTTCCTATGATTCACCCTGTTGATACACCCTGTCGTGATGACTTCTTGAGTTTTAATTCTTCCGGGTTGGTGGTGCTAACTACCTTGTTTTGCTTCTTTTGAGCAAAAATCACAATGTTCTTAGGGTTCCATTTCTCATCTTCTTTGGATTCCATTTTTCATCCAAAAAACTCAGCATCTTTCTGCTTCGACTTGTTCTCGCTTTGTATTATCAAGGATCTCTTTCTTTCTTAAATCGGGGTTCTAAATCTTCTACTTCTTAGATCCGATTATTTTTCGTATAGGTTATTCTTTATCTTGTGATCACCCTTAGTTGTTTTCTTCGCGTATGAATGTTACACGATCGCGAGCCAAACATACTGCTTCTTGATTACGACGGGATGATTACAACAATGGAGAGGAGGGAGGTGCTATGCTACCGTACATCTCCCTGGGGAGTAACTAGTCTACTTCGTCGGACAGTGCGGCTTCATTCCGGCGCTCTCGGGGTCCTTCAACGGAGCTAGGTCGTGGGTCGGCTTCTTCTCTTGGAGGTAGCTAGGTGAGAGGGATGAGTGGCTCGATGTCTGAGGCTTTCGTAGGCAGTGGTGCGGGCAGTACTGCAAGGTCCATCCTTCTTCTTTCTGGAGGGTAGACGGGGATTCTTTCCAGAATTACAGGCTCTGGTTCGTGAACGACATACATCCTTCGCTTTGGTCGGGTGATGAGGTAGGCATTCTTTAACTCTTGGGCGTGTCGGTCTTCGGCGGTCTTCAAGACTTCGGCAATGGCCGTCTCGCGGCATTCCGCAATGGCTGCTCGTGCATGTGCTTGGGCGAACTGGACGTGGAGCTTCCTGGCATAGATCTCGGCTTCTTTGGCTTGGTGGATGCAATTCCTCAACTCAGAGGCTTGCTTGTCGTATTGCTCATCGAGGGCAAGCAGGTAGGTGACCATGTACTTTATGGCGGAGTCATTTTCTTGACCTTGGCAGGGCTTCCATGCGGGGCGGTTCTTCTCTCGGGGTGGGAAGAATCTCATGGGCGTGCGGGCAATGGGCTCTTCATAGATGCGGCATAGGTGTCGCAGGGCTTTGCGGGCGACGGCTTGGTAGGTGTCGGTGAAGCAAAATCCGGTTGTGGTCGTACTCCAGGCTTCGATGATGTCGGGGAAGTCTTCACTCTTGGCAACGTAGATGGTGACTTCACAGCGTTCTGTGCCATGTTCTTCATACTCATGACCTTCATACTCAGGGCGCTCTTGGATTCCAAGTTTCTGCATGGTGGAGTAGAGAAGCTTGGGAAAACCTTCGTTGTGGAGGCAGTAGCTGCCAATCCAAACTCCATAAGTCATTTTTGTGGCGTGGGAGGAGTCGGTGGTGGTGGTTTGTAGGTAGAAAGTTGAGGGTTGCGGGTGCTTTGCTTTTGCTTAGGGGTGGAGAAGCTGGCAGTGGGATTCTTCAGAGGTGGTGCTGAAAGGCGGAGGGGTTCCTCTTCTTTTACAAGGTGACAAGGTGAGGCTTCCTTGAGACGCTTTGACCGGTCTTGACTGAGGCTTGAGGTGTGCGAAGGAAGGAAGGGAGTGAGGTGGGTTCCACTCTACAGTGGGTCACTGTGGCGGTGGTGTAGTTTTGACGACTGTGCGGTGGTCTTCGTCAGTTTGCGGTTTACTGTAAATCCCAGGAAATGAGGCGGCTAGGGTCTGCTGGTGATGGTGGCATCGACTGCACCATTTTTCTCTTTCTTCTTTTCTTATGTGATGACTTGAGCCCAAAATTTCCATAAGTATATCTGGCAGCAACAAGAACCTCTGGGATTTTTATTCCATTCTTCTTATCCAAACCATTTTCTCAGGGCTTCAACTTCTTGCTTTCGGTGATATACTCCTTCATCTTCTTGATGTTTTCTTAAAAAATCTTCAGCTGGCAGCACTTTCTTTTGCTTCTTCTTGGATTGTTGAAACTGATTAGCACTTGAACAGGGGCTTATGTGGGTGATTGGCATTGATGGAGGGGTGTCTTGAAGTGAAAGGGGTAGCTCGAGGGTCAAAAGGGAACAGCGACATCGGGCTGTGGAGGTGACAGCATGAGTGGTGGTGATGGTGTGCGATGTCGGTGGCTTTTGCATGCGGTCTTTGCGGGTTACGCGGGTGTAGAACGAGTGTAGTTAATTTCCTTGTCTTCATTCTCTGATGGTCTTCCAAATATCTTAGGGGATCCTTTGTATATTTCCTACTAGTCTACTCTAAGTAGAAAGGGGATGAGAGGGAAGAGCACAAGATGAGGAGAAGGGTCTACTCTAATAGAGAGTTCGGGGACGAAGAAAGCATGGGGTGAGAGGGAAAACGCAAGGGGAGTTGGGAATCTATCCTAATAGAAAGTTAGAGAGGGAAGAAAGCATAAGATGAGAGGGGAGACCTATAGGCGTAGTTGTAACTAAAGCACACTACAAAGGTTAGCAGGGAATCAATCAAGGACTAACAAGCATCAATGGGGTACGTTTTCTACTTTCGCGTGTTTACCATAGGGGTCATCCTATTACCTATATAAGACCTAATGTTCATACTACCCTATTTTCTAAGTAAACTTAATCTACCCTATCTGTTACTACTCGTAATTTTGAAGGGGATGAGTAGAGAGAGAAAAGCTGTTTTTGAAATAGAAGGTCAAGGTAAGGTGAGAGTCAAGGGTTATAAGCAAGGATTTTTGAAAATAGTTTTTAGAAAATCATTCCTATCTAATGGCCATGCTAAGGTTTATCCTACAGTCCAAGTATAGCTCTGATACCACCCTATCGGGCGCCTTATTTTAGGGTCCTCTATGCATCATGTATCAGTCCCTGGATCAGTAACTGATACGCACAATTCGAACAAGATTGATATCAAAAGAATACTTTTATTGCTAATGGGGAAACATGTTACATGGTTCGTGTTTACATAGTTTGAGCAGGTGACTGGGCACCAGTTTGAGTATGATAGACCTCACAAGGTCCCTGGATGTGGTGCAGCAGCAGGAGGAGTCTCACCTCCACCACGTGCTCCTCCATGTTCTTCTTCGCGTCGCCGCAGCCCTCCTTCTCCTATTCGTAAGATGTTCAGTGCTATATTTGGGATGTGCAGAGATATCCAGACTAGACAGTAGAGAGAGAGGGAGGCTAGGAGGAAGGACACCCAGACTCTCAAGCAGATCTCTCAGAACTTAGAGCTTAATCCTCCTAGGTCTCTGATTTCATATGAGGATCTCAGTGACCCAGAGACAGAGGAGCAGCGACAGGTCCGGTATGATAGAGTTTGTTTAGTTTCTTCATAGACAGGAGCAGCAGTACGCTCAGTAGGATCAGCAGCAGCAGGAGTAGGCACCGGAGCACCCTAACACCTTGCCACTATAGGCTCGTGTGCCTACTCATGCTCAGTCACGTCCTAGTGCAGCAGACGAGTATGCTTCAGACTGGTGGGGTGACCTCACAGGTTGATATAGCCACTATGGGTATGGTGGTTATGACCTATTTGGTGAGGGTGGTTCACACCGAGCTAGGGCTCCATGTTCAGATGATGAGGGTGATGGTAGAGATGCTGATGATGATGATGAGTGATAACTGCTTTTAGAGACAGCTTGCAGCCCCTTTGTGCTTTGTTTGATCTTTTGGCAACCTTTTGTGGTGATAGATGACAAAGGGGGAGAGGGACTGATTAAAGCTTTAGGATGTTTGTTTCATTTGCTTATCTTTGTATCTGGAGATATGTACTGCAGCTGTAGTTTATGAGCTTTATTGATG